GGGGGAGCCTTTGGTGTTCCCCCGAGAATGTATAAAAATTTTTTTTTCTAAAAAACCCCGGGCCCCCTTAAAAAGGAATTTTTTTTTTCCAAAAATTAAAAAAGGTTTAAATTGGTGCCTAAAAAGGGCCACGGATTGCCGGGTGGTGAATAGATTTTTTCATTTTAAAGAGTTTTTTTTCCGGTTTCCGAGAAAACCCTTCCAGAAAAAATCCCTTTAACCCAAATTATGCCAAGAGGTTTTTATACCACTTCCCCCCGGGCCCCCGTGGGGGCCCGGGGGGGGATTTTTCCCCCCCCTGGGGCAAGGTCTGGGCCCCCCCCCCCCCTTCGCAGGGGGGGGGGCCGGGACAAGTAATAATATTAACCCTAAGACATCTTCTCTTACTATCCTACCTTTATTTGTGACAGGCTTTATCTTATTTTTTTTTCTTTTGCTTAAATCCACAACCAACATAGGCAAAAGAAAAAAAAAAAAGAAATCAGCAGAAGGATGTTTCACCATTATTGCACGTAAATCACCTAGAAGCAGCACCGGTTGAAAATTCGAAGCTAATTTTATTATCAATCTTCATAAAAAAGATGTTAAACTCTTAAAAGCTATTCAAGATTTATTTGGAGGTATAGGACGAATAAGTAAAGAGAGAAATGATTGTCGTGATTTTACAGTTAGTTCTTTAGATCAAATCATCACAAAAATTATCCCTCATTTAGATTAATACCCCTTAATCACTCAAAAGCTTGCGGATTATATTTTATTTAGGTCCGGGCGCCGCCTTCCCCCAAAGGGAAAGGCGGCTGGACCCTGCGGTTAGGCCGCCACCTTAAGGTGGCGGCCCCCCCCCCGCTGGGGAAGTTATTATGATAATGAAAAAAGGGTGAACATTTAACACCTTCAGGTTTAAAAGTAAATATTAACATAAGAGCTTCTCTTAACAGAGGCTTGACTCCTGCATTGAAAGAAGCTTTTTCTAGTTATGCTCCTGTCCATAGACCTTTAATTGATGCACATACGTTGCTTCCTATTAATCCTTATTGAATAGCAGGTTTTGCTTCCGGTGTTGGTTCTTTTATGGTTAAACTGAGAGTTAGTGATGCTTACAGTGCAGGAGATCGTGTTGATTTGGCCTTTGTTTTAACTCAACATTCTCGTGATCTGTCTCTTATTAAGTGTTTAGCTGATTACTTTTCATGCGGACAGTTTTATACTTATAAGGAGTATGCGGAATTTAAATGTAGTAATTTCAAAGAGATCTATGAAACAATCTTACCCTTTTTCCTTAAATACCCAGCGAAGCAGCCCCAGTCTTCTTTTCTTCGAAAAGAAGACACGAGGGCTATTCTGGGTGTGAAATCAAAAGATCTCGAATATTGAGTTAAGGCTGCGGATATTATTTGTTCGAAAGCTCATCTTACTTACCCTCTGCATTGATGCAGAGGGTTAGGAAGGGTTGGAGCAAATTAGAGTCATTAAGGCTGCAATGATTAGAAATAGAGAAAATGTTAAATAGTTTTTATTTTTATATCACAATTGTCTTATCAAGTTATATATTATTTTTGTATAAAGTTATTAAGCTTATTTGTATGATAAATTTTACTTCCGAGGACGTGTATGACGCTATTCCTACGATTGTTACAACTTTTGTAGCGATTATTGCAAAAATTTCTATTTTTGTCTTCTTACTGGAGTTAGTACACTATACAAGCAAACCATTATTTGATATGGATTTTTCTTGAACTACTAGCTTACTATTTAGCTCTCTTTTATCTTTAGTTATTGGAACAATAGTAGGATTAACGCAATCTAGAATAAAAAGACTTTTTGCCTTTAGTACTATATCGCACGTAGGGTTTATGCTACTAGGTTTAAGTATACACACAGTTGAGTCAACACAGGCCTTTATGTTCTATTTAATACAATACTCGATTTCCAATTTAAATGCTTTTATCTTAATTATTACGATAGGATACTCATTATATTGTTATACACAGAATGATAAGTACTCACCTATTCTTGAGCCTATACACGATAAAGAAGAAATCGTAAAAGAGGAAATGGGTAAAAAGGAATATATTAAGGAAGAAAAAGATAAAGATAGTAATAATACCGACGCAATAAACTCGCCTATCCAGCTAATTGATCAATTAAAAGGGTATTATTACATAAATCCTATTATATCCCTAAGTTCATAGACCCCTTTAGCAAGGGTAGCTAAGGACTAGAGATGCCAAACTCCGGGTAATCCCTAAAGGTCTACGTACCAAACATGATCCGAATAAAATAGGATACGTGCGGCTGAAGTAATTACTCAGGTATGGTAACAAGCGTAGATATACTATCCAGCTATTTCATTGCATGGTGAGAGAATTCCGACTGACGTAGGTCTCGGACCTGGGTGGAAACGCAGTCTTATGCAGTCAGTCTCAAAGGCGTCTCTTTAGTGTAGGGAGAGTTTGGTGAGTGGGCTACGAAAGTAGAAATGGGTGTTCGCGGATCTAAGAGGGTTACGCCCTAAAAGAGCAGAGAGCAGATGGTATCTCGTCTAACATTGGTAAGAGAGTAATTCCTATTACTACGAATAGTCACTCAATAAGTAAGTACACAGGTCTAACCTGGTGAAGAGAGTTGGTAACCACCGACCGGAATATATTGGACATATTATGAAGGAGTCAAGACACGAAGCGCCTTTCTTAATCCGGTTTGATGGCTCGATTGCGGTGGGCTGGCGCGTGGACTTATTGTGAAGGAAGGCAGGACTGAGGAGACTTTAATTAGGATCCAATAGATGATGTATGTGAAATAGTGTTAGATGTAAGGTGTGCTCCATTAGCCCCAGGTTGAAAGTAACCTGATATGACATAAACCGAAAGGGGGCGTTATACGACAAGCTAACACCGTATAGGTGGAATGTCGTTGTCTATTGAGGTTCTTTCTATCTCCTCAATCGGCTGTTATGCAAGTAGGAATCACTTTATTTTCATTTGCAGGTATACCTCCTTTAATAGGATTTTTTGGTAAACAGATGATATTAAGTGCAGCAGTGGATAGCGGTTATATTTTTATGGCATTAGTTGCTATATTAACTAGTGTTATAAGTGCTGTATATTACTTGGCTATCATAAAACAAATTTTCTTCGACAAACCAGACTACAGTTTAAACAAAGAGCTGAAAGATTTTAATGCAGATGGTTTAATAACTGAAAAAAACACGGCCGTTGAAAAAGTTAGTATACAAATGAGTAATATTGTTATATCAAGCTCCTTAAGTTTATCCATTTCAGTTATAACGTTAGTAATAACATTATTTATTTTTATACCACAAGAACTGTTAAGCTTTGCCAATATATTATGCTTGATACTATTTAATTTATAAATGACAAGTACAACTTTTTTTATCATATTTATCCCTATCTTGTCTATATTGTTATTAGCTATAAATTTACTACTAGCACCGCACAATCCCTATCAAGAAAAGGATAGTGTGTTTGAATGCGGTTTCCATTCATTTTTAGGGCAAAATAGAACACAATTTTCAGTATCCTTTTTTATATTTGGTCTTTTATTTCTGCTTTTTGATCTAGAAATACTGCTGGTATACCCGTACAGTGTTAGTAGTTATACTAATGATATATATGGTCTAGTTATTATGATGGTATTTTTTGTATTATTAACTCTTGGATTTGTATTTGAGTTAGGTAAAAACGCATTAACTATTGATAGTAGACAAACTCATACTTATATTAGCGAAGATACATCTAAACCGGTAGCCTTTATAGATAATTACCTTGTTAATAGCTATGTATATTTTAATGGAACTAAGGGAGAATTTACTATTTTATTAGTACTGGTTATACCTACCGTTTTCTTTGGTATATATCCTGCTCCAATATTAGACGCTATACACTACTCAGTATCTACTTTAATTTACTGTTTTGATGTGAGTGTAATTAGTTGTGATGCACCTAAGGTGTGAGATATTGGATGTAATAACTATTTAAACTACCCTACTTTATGTGCATTTTTATTTTGAAGCTTAATTGCTTTGGTACTTATTAAGAAGTATTACACAATACAACAATGAATAAAAAATAGAGATCTTATCTATTTTAAATTGTTTTGCTATTTTCTATATTACAAGGCAACCTTAGTTAATATTTTCATGGTATTATTCGTTACATATTTAGTAGTTAATGGATGTATAGCAATACACTATGGAGTTTATCATGAATTCATACCTTATGTTAGAGATCTAAATATACAATACGTTAACACAGACCCTTCTTGCATAGCAATAGGGGTAGATGGTGGCATTGTGGAAAAAGGTCCTAGGGTGAACGATCATATTTTACTAAGTTCATCCAAAAACTCTCAGCCTAATATGAATGCGGGTTCTACAGGTGGGCTATATCCAGGCCAAGATGGGACTATAGATCCACGTTTAACTGTTACACAGTATCCAGGACTTAAGTCGGACCTTATTTCTGCACAGTCTGATGTATTAGCTACAAGACAGAATAATGTGCCTCCTATAACATCACGTAGTGTAAATTTAAACGATGTAGATGTTAAATTCACTAGGGGAAACGTTATGATTAACGGTGGAAAATATAGTTTCAGAGGGTTGGAATATTTTTACAAGGACCATCCTGAACTATTTCATAGCCATAGAAAAGGGGAAACTAAGATAAATACAATAATAAATGAGTTAAATAATTCTTAAAATAGATTAAAAACGAACCTTATAATGTTGCTCATTTATTCTTGCCTTTTTTGCATTAGAATTTTATATTACTTAGTGGCTAATTTGTGTGGTAGTTCTGGGGCTACTATATCTAAAACATGTTATGATGCTTAATATAACTGGGATGAACATTTAAATAATACTGCAGAATATGCTAACAAGATAAAAAAAAAAACGGTTATATTACTTTAACTTGTTATGAAAATGGGTAAGATTAGTTATAATAGTAACCATATTTATCCTTAATAGTTTTTTTTTCTTTTGCAAATGGTCAGTTGTAAGTTTTTTTTGTTTTCTTTTGCTTATGGTTAGTTGTAAGTTTTAGTCCCGGCGTCTTCTTTGCTTGCAAAGAAGACTGGGACTGTAATTTTTTTTACAAATATCATGATATTTGTAAAAAAAAAAAAATAACCGCAAAAGAAACCAAAAAATAAAGCAGTAAACAGTTTATGCAAACAATGGTCTAAAGGTAGACCATATACCTAACAAATGTTTTTAACTTTATTCCCTTTTTATCGCGTTAATCAATACCAATAATTCATTAAAACATAATATGTTAAATAAATTCTGAAATAAAAAAAATAGTTTTAATGGAAATTCATTTAATACTAATTTTACAGAAAAAAATATAAAAAAAAGTAATTCTGAAAAAGATGAATATAATAAGATGATATTTTACCCAACTTCTGGTAAAGAATGATTTAGTAGCCTTTATTCTTATAATAAATCATATATTAAATCTTTAATTAGCTATGACGCAGTACTAAACAAATTACTTAGAAGTTATTGTAACATGTTACAAGATAAAATAAAAATACTTTTTAAACGTAGGCGGGATAACAAAATTCGTTATTCAGCCAATAAAATATATGCTGCGAGAGCTGAGCTAAACCATACAAATACTAAACTTTCTATTACATTATATGTATATAATAAACAAAAATCATCTATTGAACGTTATATAAGAAAAATTACAACACTTATACGATTTGAAAAAAAGGTTTTTGGGGTAAAACCCGTATGAATACCAAACCATAAAAACAGATTACTTCATATATTAAAAAATAAATTTTTCATGTTTAGAAAATGAAATATGGCTTTTTTTAATACAAGGAAAAATCTAGTAAGAAATTTATTAGTTAATTTAAGAAAAAAATACTATATACCCTATAATATACCTAGTTATAACATTAGACCTATAAAAAAAGTATTTAGATTACAAAATATCTTGTTTAATTCCATAAAATCCATTAATTTTAATAAATCTAAATTTAATAGCTTAAATCTAAACTTAAGAAATTTAGGTTTAACTAGTTTAATAGAAAAATTATATAAAAAGAAGGTAGAAATAAACTTAGTTGAATTAAAATCTATACACTTAAACAGTGATATTTTTGCATCAGCAGTATCTCTTAAATTAAGAGACAGAAAAAATAAAGCAGTAAGAATTCTGAGAAAAGCTGTTTTACAAATGGTAAGAATTCCTGATTTACATACACTTATTACATTTGACGATCATATGGAAACAATGAACAAGAACAATATTATAAATACTATTAAACAACAAGTAGTGAGTGGTGTAAGATTTGAAGCATCAGGTAGATTAACAAGGCGTTTGACCGCTATGAGAGCTGTATTTAAGTATAGATATGCAGGTAGCCTAAAAAACATACGTTCCTCATATAATAATATATCATCTACTATGTTAAGAGGCTACGTTAAAGCTAATTCCCAATATACCCTTATTAATTCTAAGACCAGAAATGGAACTTTTGGCTTAAAGGGTTGAGTTAGCAGCCATTAAAGCTAGATCTAGGATTTACTTTTTATAACATAATATTACACCTAGTGTAGTGCATTGCTTTATATCCTAGATATTTTTTAGGTGTACTTATATCTAGTGCAAAATAAAGCATAAATATATATAGAGTTTTTATTCCTAGAATATAACAAATGGGGGGTGGGGGTATAGCAAATTTTGTCTTTCAACAGGCAACCATTAGAGAGAGAGCATTCTCTCTCTGGTAAGACTGCTAATGGGTCTTAGGCTGGATACGTGGGAGCTTCGAAAATCCATAAAAAAAAAAAATTAGCCCTAACGTCTTCATTTCAAAGAAATGAAGACTGGGCTGCTGTTTATTTTTTTTTTTCTTTTGCTTGTGTTTAGTTGCAAGTTTTAGTCCCGGCGTCTTCTTTGCTTGCAAAGAAGACTCGGACTGTAATTTTTTTTTACATATATCATGATATATGTAAAAAATAACCGCAAAAGAAAAAAAAAAATAAGGAAACCAAGGTTTCTATTAATAATCCATTACTTCCAGTAGTTGTAATTTATAAGTTGTAGACGATAAAAAAAAATTTTTACTTCGTAGACTCAAGAGAAACAAGTTTCCCTTAATAAACCCTTCAATATTACTAAATAATACTTCACTATTTACAAATAATTCTAATTATTTGTTTTTTTTTTAATAATATGTCTTATCGCTTTGGTGTTAAAATACATAATAATATTTATAAAATATTCGATGTTCTCTTTATAAAATATTCCATGTTCTCTTTGTAAAATATTCGATGTTCTCTTTATAAAATATTTGATGTTCTCTTTAGGATAGTTGAAAAGTTTAAGATAAATAACCATTTGGTTTTGTTAAGTAAAGCATATATATTTGGAAGTTAGAGGTTACCCCATTCTACTTTATTTTCGACGGCAATCAATCTATATTATTTATATCTCTAAAGGATCATATACCAGAAATTATACAAAATTTAAATAAGGGTTATTATTCATTTAATTTTTATCCTTATATACAAGATTAGATTTAAAATGATCTTTTTTGTTTCAATGAGGATAATAAAAATTTAGATTTATGTAAAGTTCATTCAGGTTATAAAAATATAATGGATGTGATTGTTAATATAAATAGGGGTAATAAAAATTATTCAAATTTATGGTTAATATCTGAAATTTCTGGGATTATTTATGATAGACTTCCTTATTTAACTTGTGATTCTGGTGAGTATGTTATTGATATGGATAATAATTTTCTGTTGGTTATATATAAGATTGATGAATCTCAATTTATAAAATATGATATTAAAAGCAGAACATTATCGTATGAAATTAGTAGCTACGTTTTTATAAAAGATGATAGAACTGTTTCTATATATAATTCTACGACTGTGGATAATAACGATGTTAATTTGGATAATACCAAATCTTCTGTTTCTTCTTATAATGTTGATGAATATAAAACTTATGGTACTGTTCAGAACGATAAAAAGGTATTAATTCAGAAAACATTTAAAGTGGAAATAGTTGAGCGTGTTTTACATTATACGTTACAATATCGTCCTAAAAAAGATAAGAGTATAGACTTTAAAACAGAATTCCATTATCGTAGTGGTAGATGTGATATTCTTAAATTAACATATGAAGACCGTTCTAAAGGATTAACTCTTGCTTATAAATATCCTCAATACAAATATAAAATTCAGGGTTTAATAGATGAAGGGCACGAGCCTTTCTTTGGTTCAGAAAGGTTACTAGGAAAGCCTAACTTATCTACAAATATTTTTGATAAGATTGAGTATAAACGAGATAAATATTATAAACAAGATAGTAAAAGTATAGCCTCGGCGCCATCAGCCCTGTTAATATTTTATTTGTTTTGCCAATATTTGTTTCTGACTTAAGCAAAACAAATAAAATATTTAGCTGAGGGCTGAGGCTGTAATTTTTTTTTTACATATATCATGATATATGTAAAAAAAAAATAACCGTTAAAACTAATTTAAATATATCCCACGACTTCAATAGTTATCAAAATAATAGTGTCAAAAGCATCGTTAATCAAATGTGTTTAGTAAACAGAGGAGATATTTCTATACCGAAAGAGAAGATAGAAAAATACCAATTTTAAAATATAAAGTTAACTCTATGGATGTAAATGAATTTAATCTAAATAATTTTACAAAAATCTTAACTAAAGTATTTACACTAAATAAGACTTATTTAAATTATATAAATAAAGATTAAATATAGTAAATCTATACACATCTTTACCATAATCTATTATATCACCTGTATAAGTCATAAAAACCTTAATAAAAAAAAAACAAGTGGGGGGGTTTGTTTCTAATCAATAGTATTTGTAAGGCATATACGTGAAGATAGCTATTACATATAAGGAATCGCTTACGAATAGGTAACGCACTAGTTAAACCAACCATATTTTATAAAAGGGGATATATAAAAAATGGCAGGAGTGCTAAACTATACCGTGATTATAATACTTGTAACTATGCAAAATATCAGGTTATAAGGGGGGGGGTTACAAAAAAAACTCTTTTTTTTTAGCTCAGTTGTAGAGGATTCGTACACAGACGAGGGGTCATGTGTACAATTCACTTATTTCTTTTTAGTTATGTAAAATAAGCATATATTTATCTATTCTACCCCGTCAATACAAAATCTATACATTAAATGCTAAAAGAGATGGTAATGTTATACGCTATAGTTGTATAATAAAAATTTTGCCCATTACAACGTACACATTAAAATTGATTAGTTTTAGCCTTTAACTGTAGTCAACTTAAACAATGTTTTTTATTGGTACATATTATTAATACAAGAAATAACATATACTACAAAGTAAATATTTCACACGTATATGTATTAATTATGCATTAGTCTCTGCAACTGCACTGTAAAGAGTCTTTTAAAGGGAAGAACTAGTGTTATAAAAGTTTTAATGTTTGGTATGGAGCTTCTACGTAATTATTTTCCATTTATATAATTTATAGCTATCTATTATAAATAGTAAATTTCTAGTTTCTTTTCTATAATAAGATCTATATATTACATATATATGTAATATATACAATTTATAGAGAAAATATTAGAAAATTATACGAATAATAATTTATACACATCGAAAAAAAGGTTTAAATTGTGTTCTGTTTAAAACATTACACAGTTAAACTTTATAATTATGTATCTTAATTTGGTAATATAGGATTATAATAAAGGTATATTACAAGGCATTATTTCAAAACTATATAATATACATGGGACTAGTATAATTAAAGCAATTACTATTGGTAATAGTACAGTTCAACAATAAGACATTAACTGGTCATAACGAATACGCGGGAATGAGGCTCTTGCTCAGATAAATGTAAATACCATTATACAAGCTTTAAGCCCAATTACTATACCACTTATACTTGTACCTATTACTGAATTGTAATTATCAAAGTCAATTACATTAAAATTAGTTTCATTTTCTGTTAGATACATATAACTATCACCTGCAATAAATTGCAGTAAATAAAAATAAGGGTATAGATAATAGTTAAAATCAAACAGATAACCACCTAAAAATAAAATACTATTTAAAATACAAATAAGTACTATACTAGCATATTCAGCTAAAAAGAAAAATACAAAAATAACAGCTGAATGCTCTGTCATAAAACCACTAACTAACTCTGATTCCTTTCTATTACTACACCAATCTTTTTCCGTTCTTTTTTCATTATTACTTAAAGACTAAATTAATCCATTATAGGTCTAAATTAATAAGAGTTACCATATATGAGGTTAGTATTCTAATACTTTCCTACTGTAACCTTAGATACTTTCAAGTATTTAGCTAACTCAACACTATTTTCAAACTTTGAAATTAAAGTACCTTCTAAGTCAAAAATACCTACTCCTAAGTGATATTTATTCTTTCTTTTCCTCATCTTATCTTTGGCTTCTTCGCTATGTATTTTTCCAAACATAGGGTTTAAATCCCCTGGTTTACTAATCTTAAGCTTATATTCGTTAGTATGCTTATACCCTAAATTGTTATGGGCGATAAAACTAAAATTATAAAGAGTTTCTAATTTAAATTTTGACAAATAACTAGTCTCTAGTTCAGTTAAAGATTTGTGGCTTATAATCCTACTTTCATATGAAAAATATTCGTAGATACAAAATTTAAATTTACCGAAACCATATTTTACAAATGATTTTTGTAAAGCAGCGTTTGAATTATTTTTATACTTTATGTGTTCATTAAGTCTTATAAAAAAGTCTTTTGCACTACCAATAATACCGCTTATCATTAACTGTATTAACCAAGCAATAAATACCACCTTTGTCTTCTAATATGCTTTTATGTGATTTAATACAAGCTTCGTTATTTAAATCAAGAGTTAAAATGGGCTGAGGTAGAAGGTAAGAACTAAGGGGTTGTGGACTAGATTTTGTAGAGTAATATTTACGACCAGATGATAAATAATTATAACCCATATTGCTTAAAGGTAATTTTGACTTATAATAAAAAGAACAACCACACCGGGATAGATATGACTTCGTAAATGGTAATATATTGGTACATACTTTTGTTACTCTTTAAAAAGGTTAACTTTTAAGTAGTGTTTACCTTCATACACCAATCCCTTATTTATATATTTACTCACAGTGACCTTAGATTTACTTAAATACATAGCTAAGTCTGAAGCATTATCAAAACTTTTTATTAAATTATTATGTAGATCATATATACCTACACCATTAGGATACTTTACTTTTTTACTTCTCATAAGGTTTTTGGCTTCTTCTGAATGTGTCTTACCAAACATCGGGTTTAATAACCCAGGTTTACTTATTAAAGATTTAGTTTTATTATAATAATGTTTTCCTTACCCTCCCCGCAAGCTTGCGGTTATTTTTATTTTCTTTTGCAGTGTTTAATAGTTGGTTTGAGCAAAAGAAAATAAAAAATTAGCCCTCGCGTC